GATGCTGACCGCCTCCGAGCGCCGGCGGGGACAGCACCCGCACCCCCGTCGGCTCCCCGCTACTCTTCCAAAGCCTCCCCGGTCCACCACGGCTGCGTTCTCCTTTCCAGAAGGGGCACCCAGCACCGAAACCTTCCCCGCGGGTTTAGAAAGATGTTCAACCGTGCCGTGTCTTAAAATGCACCAGAGATGCCTGGCTGCTTGGATGCTCCTAATCTCCAAAGAGCAGCTTCAGCATGGAGCCCGGCAGCTGGGACACCAGGAGATGGGAGGTCGGTGTAAAGTGGATAAATAACGAACACGTACACAGACGTCTGAGGATGCACAGTGTCAAATCTGATCTTGAGTGAAATTCCCACTGCAGGCACTACCAATGCTGCCTGAGGATGAGGCCCATGTCAAAGATGCCAATGCCATTATTCTACCAGAACATTCAGCATCACTGATCAAAACCAGCACAGACTTGAAGAGGGGGGAGCAGTTTTATTATTCACAGATTAAAAAGGCCTCTTTCTCAAGCTATTACTGTTGCCATTACCAGTTAATTGTAGGGGTTTAATACATTTGTTTCTGGCCCATTTGTCACCTCCTGTTATTAAACAGGTCTACAAGGCCGGTTTAGCTTCCCCTGGGACAGGCATGGTCCCAGTGCCTTCACTTACGTGCAAGTGACTCCCCTGGCTTCTGCCGCTGTGGAGCGGTACGCACCACACCACTGTACGAACAGCAGAGTTACAGGGTGACAGCGAGCAGAAGTTTCATCCACTAATTCTACGGCTGCATAAATCTGCAAATAATTAATGTGTCAAGATTCCAGCTGTCAGGTACTTACAACTACTTAGTTCTTAACAGGAGTGCAGCAGCAGCAGAATATATTCCAGCACCTCAGAAATGACTCTCAGCTATTCTGACCCAAAGAATGACTGACAGCCAGAGCAGCCAGAAACTGCTGGTGGGCAGAAAAGTAGTACCTAAGCAGATAAATGCAAGATTTTAAAAGTTGGGTTTTTTCACATCTGTGATAACCAAAAACCTTCCCATAAGGAGTAAATTCTTATCAGGCTAACTCGTGTAGCTTTTCAAAGGCACGCAGCAACCGCACTAAAAATTCAGACAGGGATATGAGACAATTTATGAAGCACAAATGTTACAGTAGAACTGTACACTGCAGTAACTTTTAAATGTCATAAAAAGTTTTTTCAAAAGTGTAGTATTCAATAATTATACAAAATTACATGTAAAAAATATAAAAATGTATATATAATGCCTTATTCACAATAAGAACTCTTTCGTAAGCTGAGTATTCTTATCTCAGCCCTCATTATTTCACCTGATCAGCTTTCTCTGCACAAATGAAGAAATCAGTTCACTGACTTGAATCCATCCAGCAAAACAGGTTTCAGGGTAATCCAGCAACAGAGCTGAAGAATAATAGCAGAGTCCTTTCAAATTAAGAAAGTGGTCTGTGGTCGGGTTGGGAGACCAGTCGCTCACAACTCCCTGTACTTCTCACTTGAGTTACAGAAAATACTTTATAACAGCTAAAAGGTGTAATTCACTATCAACTGCAAAATGAAATAACTACTTTTTCTGCTGCATCTGAACAGTCATTTTTGTTTCTCTGTGGATAATCAAACCTGAACCATACCTGGAACAATCTGGAAAGATCAGAGAAATATTTGTTAAAAGTGAGTGTTGCGTGTTTTCAGTGTTCAGGCATATACTCACAGAATGGTAAAAAAGAAAAAGACAATGTCTGTATGTTGAGTCCAGAAATAAAGCTGGACAACATAGATTCATATTTTGTAAAATAATAGTGGTTCTCCCTTATTCATCTTCTTATGTATTCAGTTTTTGGGTCCGTATCTGAATCTGATGAGTCACTTTCATGAGAAGAACAAGAGGAATTTTGCCATTCACGAGAGCCATTCCGACAGCGTGGTGTCTGCACACTTTCTGTGTCATCCAGGAGTCTGGCTTCAAAAGCATGAGTACATTGCCAGTCAACTGCATCTTCTTGGGAAGAAAGAAGAGCTGCAGAACTATCCACGTTCTCTTCAGAGGCTCCCAAGAGCACAGTTTTTAAGTTAATGGTAAAGCAAGCACTGTTGCTTTGCCTAGAAGAATAGTTATAATTTACCTCCGAGAAAGGATTAAGTAACTCACAGCTTGTGTCTCTGTCTCCTTCAATGCCCATCTCACACTCTGCCAAAACTTGGGGGTCAGTGTCTGGATTTTCACTTGCCTGGCTGCTGCTGTCATCACATGTACTATTTGTAGAGTACTGCACAAATACCTCTGGCGTGTCTGAGGCATGAGGTACTCTGCCTAGGAGATCACGCCTCGTATAGTTCTGATTACTTATGGTATCACTGTCACTGTCATCGCTGTCATCTTCATCATTGATACCACCACTGGATTCATTTACCTTTTTTTTCAGCTCTCTGTAAATAATCTCTACAGAGGCTATTTCCTCAGGTTTAAATATCCAAGGTGAATAGGATAATGTCTTGATGAATACCTAAAAGAGCAAAGTGAATTAAAAAAAAAAAAAAATCAGACAAATTTCCACACATGCACAGAAAGCTATGAAAAAAATACTCCCAGTCATGAAGTTGTCAAACATATGGTTCTTTCTGTGCCACATTTTTGGCTTTCTCTGCAGAGTTCAGGGAATTTAAGATTGTTCCCTCTTCTGCATTCCTGTAAATATGACCGCCTTCACTACAAACCAGGGCACACGGCATCAGACAGCCTCAAAGAAATGACACCAGTGCCAAATAGTGTCAGGCATTAAATGTTTTCATTCTGGTTTTTGAGATATCTTTCTAAGACGAAAAGCTCATTTCAGAAATGCATCTTAACCTAAGGTAAGTCTTGCAACTCTCTTATCTCAAGCAGGTACCATGCAAAAGAGAAGCCTTAACATGGACAATCAATTTTCATGTCCTTCAGAAATGTACCATTTGAAGCAACTAACTATATAACATCCTAAGTCCCATTTTCTCTTTTCTACTCTGCACTTCTGAAGATTACTGAATATCTGAAGCATTGGGGGAAAACACTGACAATTACAAAATTAACCTTAGATACTACTTGGCCAAAGTCATGTTCAGCAGTCTTAGGGATATGAAGGTAATGACACAGCAAAGGACAGAAACATGAGGAAAAAAGTCTTTGAAAAAGTCTATACCAATCTGGTCTGGAAGTATTTGTAGAAAATGGATGAAAATGATGGAAAAACACAGAATTAAATGTAAAAAGTCAGAGACTATTAAAAAAAAAAAAAAAAAAGGCAAGCAAGCGAAGATGGATAGAAACAAGTCCCAGGAATCTTGTTATCTTTGCTTGAAATTTAGTGGCAGTTCCCTCTCTTCTATTAAAATATATAATTAGCTGACTCAGGACTGGCTTCCTCAAGCACTAAAACATGACACTTGATCACAGGAAAAGTCTAAAGAAAGACTATTTTAGTCAAAATAGTGGAACAGTTGAAGTGATATATTACCACTACCTTTCTTCCTTAAGTACCCTTCCTTGATCATGGACTTTTTTGCCAATCACTATATATGCCTACAGAGAATGCCTTAGCATTTGGAAGGTGATGCAGGTACCGTTTGCCTTGTGTAGATGTACATCCCCTCCCCTCCCCCCACCCTGAGCAAGTTTCCTTCCAGAGCTATATGGTTTCTTTTCCTTTGCTTTTTGTTTTCATCCAACTCCAATACTCAGGTAGACTATGACAGCCTGGTCCAGGAGTCAGTGCTAAGATGCTATGCCAGCTCTAGATTCTGTCAGAGATAACTTGCATATAAATATCCTTTTTTTTTCCTAGTAAGTGTTCCACTATCAGGCATCCTTCTCACTAATGCCTGTTTATAACAGAATACAGTAATAAACAATTACTGAGACTGGAGAAGGAAGGCAGACATCAGGCTACTCAGAGGAGTGAATGTGAACTTGCTAGTAACAGCTCTGGAACTAACCACTAGGACACTTTTCTGTCAGGGAATATCCAATCCATGGTAAAAGATACACGTGAAGCTGGAAGGCTGGGGACCTGCAAGCTATCTCTGGTTTCAGTAAAGAGGGTTTTTCCCTTGTCTGAGAAGCTATTGTCGATGTTACGAAGCAGACTCAGGTTTCCTGAGAGACAACATGCTTTAAAGACTGCTTCCTCAAAGCTGTGCCTCATCTCTACAAAGGTCTTTGATGGTCTGTCCTTTGTCTCCTTGCTGAGGTGAACTGAGAGTAAGTTCTTATTTGTTGTGTGTGAGATCATTTCCAAAACCACACCCAGATCTTGCTCCTACCAGGCTGCTGAACCTTTACTTTTAGCACTTCTCTCATGCTGTCCCTGACTCCTTTTGTGGACAATAACCATGAAGCATAGTTTTAGGGAAAAAAAAAAATAGTCCTAGAGCACTAACAGTGCTAGAGCCCTAACAGCACTAACTTTTCTCCTCCAGATGTGCCTAACTGGCCTATCTTTTGAGCATACCCATACCAAAACTCTCAACTCTAGGCCATTTTTATGCACCACTGCAGGAAATGCACACCCATACTCAACTGGGTCTGAAAGCTTCCTTTTGTCTTTGCAGCTTGCCTTCCTATGGAAGCGTGATAAAGAAAAGACCTTGGAGGCAAGTTTAACACACTTGCTTTCAGTTGCAGAATCTCTCAAAATGCCTTTAAACTCCAGCAGCCGGGGACTTGGCTAAAGTCTCCTCAAATCTTCAGGGAATGTTCTATTTTTGGTGTAATAAATGGACAGGTATTATACGGGTAATTGGTTTTATTCTTAGAGAGGAGTACAATGCTGCAGGGTGAAATAATGGAGCCAAAATGTGCCAGAAACTGTTTTGCTAAGGAGCAATAGATACACGTTGCTCCCGAATGTTTCCAGAGCATCCTTCTTGGTGGAGAACAGGTCTTCCTACACACTTCATCTAAGAACTGGAGCAGGTTTTTTGGTTTGGAGTTATTGCCCTGGCTCAGATAGCAGAAGAAATTTGTCTGCTGCAGGCAGGATTTACATGTGATGTAAAGGGGTTAACTGTCCTACGCTGGGTGCTCTGCTGTACGACCCAGCCTGCTTATGCGTACCATAAAGAGTTCATTTAAAGTTACTTTGGGGGACGGTCTCCCCTTCACTATTGCTTGTACGCTCCTAACTTCATAGAATCACAGAACAGCCCAGGTCAGAATGGACCTTGAAAGACCATCTGGTCAAGCATTTCATGGCAGAGGAGCCTAGATGAGATTTTCTAGCACCCTGTCCAACCACACGTTGAAAAGCTCCAGTGATGGAGACTCCACCACATCCTTGGGAAGCTTGTTCTAGTGATTGGTTGTTCTCACTGTAAAAAATTTCTTTCTTATTTGAGATGAAACCTGTCATGGTACAACTTGTACCCATTGTCCCTTGTCTTGAGAGTCTCTGTCCTGTTTGTAGCTGCTCTGTAAGTACTAGAATACTGTAATGAGGTCCCCTCTGAGCCTTCTCTTCTCTGTGGAGAAAAGACCTAACTCCTTCTGTCCTTCCTCACAGGGCAGGTTCTCCAGCCCTTTGCTCATCCTCATGGCCCTCCTCTGGACGCTCTCCAGTCTGTCTGCACCTTTCTTGTGCTCCGGGGACCAGAACTGGACACAATAGTCCAGAGGCAGCCTGACAAGTGCTGAGTAGGGTGGGACGATCACATCTCTATCTCTGTTAGTAAATTAGTCACAGAAGTAGCAAGAAATGATTTTGAGAAAGACTGAATAATTGTTCCACAAAACAGACAAGATTTAGCGGCCTATAGACTATCTCTGACCTAAGTAAATGGCAAATTTAAACATTATATGTACTTACATAACTTCTACCTAATGCACAGGATTAGAGATTTCAGATGGCAAACTTCCTTCTCCCAACCAGGAAGTTTAAATATGAGAATTATTACATACCAAGGTACGTGGAAGGGCTTTTGTTTGAAGAATGTAACCTCCTACATGCATACACTTCAGGGCACCAGCTAGCACCAGTGAAAAGCATACAGCACCTGCGACTGCAACGGTATGATACTCTGCAAGTGAATAAAACAAACAAACACACATGAATGAAGTTTCCAATGACCACGTTTCATATTTCACATTCAGAACAGCTGTTCAGAATCACAGAATAATTTTGGTTAGAAGGGACCTCTGGAGGTCATCTGGTCCAAAGTCAAAACAAGACCAAATCTCAAATTAGATTCAGGAATTTAAAAAGAAACTACACCATCTTTGGTAACTATTTATACATTTACTCTAGATTTGTACAGCTCACAGAATTAACAACAGATTTGTAGCCCCAAAGTGGATGGGTTTTTATATTTCACCTATAAATCTCTACAATATTTATCACTCAGAAGGTACTTTCTCTCTTATTATTTTTAGGATTTACTTGTGAATCTTCCTACATAAAAAGAAAACACTTGCACATAATCAAGAAAAACAATCCATTCCTGCACCACAGCAGTTACCTTGTTGAGCTACAGAGTCTGCAGTTATACATTTCCAGGCTGATGGGATGGAATGTTTGTTTAGAGATGCAGTGACCATAACAGACACACAATAGTTTTTATTTGGATACAATTCCTCAATGATGGTACTAAAACTTTCTTCAGTGGTTTTCTCACGTGGTATCTGTCAAGAAAGACAATGTTTTAAAGTTAGCTATTTGCCTAAAAAGAGATCCCCGGCCACTGATAAAACATTATGGCTATTTCAGAGAAATGCAGTAGCAAAAACTGACACAGTAACTCAGCAATTTACCTAGACAACTGCTTCGTCTCTAGTTCTAGTTGATGTTAAGGTGCCTACCTTATGCCTGTTTGTGAAATAGTTTATTATCAAAGATAAATTGCCTTCTGTCTCCAACTGTTGGCCACTATATCTCCCCTTGAAGTAGCCTCACACAAACTCTACAGATTTGAGACTGCCAAGTGATATTCTGCTTCAGAAAGCAGGGGAAAAATATCCATGGCAGGCAAGTTGTGGTCCTTCTTCTGTGACTCCTGGCAGAATGAGTTAGACAGATTAAATTCCCAACAGGTACCCACCTGTCTGACCTGCTGTTCCAAAACTCCAGTACAGGCAGTCCATGCTTTAGCAAGGCAACTTACTCCAGTGCTTTGCCAGCCCAGTTACTGATGTCTCTCTCGATGTTTAACCTACAGTCTGCACAACTGCCAATTTCATTTCACTCGTTTTGGTCACAGTCTCAGTGAATGGTATATTTCCTCCTTTTCTGTAGTAAATGTTTACAGTCTCAGAGACTCTGGCCTCTAACTGTGCTTTTCTTGCTTACACTAAGTGATCCCCTATTATTCCAGTATTGCCTCACAGGTCACATATCAGGATGCCCCACAGTCCTCACTGTTAACTTTTGGATCCTGCTCAACTGGTCCATGCCTCTTCTGAATCCCAGACTGATGCAGGGTAGGTGGGCTTTACAGGTACTGAGTACATAAAAATATTACTTTTTTATCTCTCAGCAACATGTTTAGCTTGTAATATTATAGAATGCTCTCACCCTTTCTGGCAAAACTGCTGCCTGTGTAGCTGTTGCCACTCTACTTATTACACGGACAATTATTCTTAAGTGTTATGTCTTGCATTGGTCCTTATTGAATTATTTCCAATTAATTCAAGATTATTTCTCCATTTTGTGAGGATCATTTTAAGTTCTAATCATGCCTATCTACCTCTCTATTTCAACATACAAAAACCCCCCCAAAAACAGACCCAGAGTACGCTTTTTCAGAAACTAACTGGATAATTTTTTCCAGTTTGACAGAAAACTACTGAACCGATTGAACTGTTTTCTGAACATATTTTCCTATCAGCTGTGCACACATCCACCAGTAGCTTCTGCTAAGCTTCCCTTGTCTTCCCAGAGAAGAATCACTTGAGCCAGTGCTCGGTATTTTATTTCAGGTAAGGATACAGGACAACCAGTATTCCTCTTCTAGACTTTCTGCTCTGCAGTAAAAGGAAGCTAAGATTATGTTGGCCATTCTCTTTGTTTTCTAATTATCTTCTATTCACACATTTGCTTCTATGAATCTGCTAACCATCAGAGCCATCTTATGCTTTCTGTATTTCTCCCCTAAAACATAAATAAAACGAAGTTCTTTACCTTATGCTCTCTATCAAGTGTTTTCAGTGTTATATCGTAATCAAGCTCTTTATATATATCAATTAAAGACAGTAGCTTTCCTTCATTTCTCAAGTGAGAGGTTGGCAGCTTTATGCTGACATTTATACAGTTTAGACAGGAACTGATATTAACTTCTGGTGGTCCCAGGAACGCTGTTGAAAAAAAGGAAAGAGAAAAAAATTGTGGAAAATTATACACTATGTACTCAGTACCAATTCTACGTCAGTGACAGATACATAGCTGACTCATCAGATTCCAGAGTATGCCACTGCTGTAAATTCACAAGGCCTTGCAATATTTAAGTTCCATGGTCAAATTCTCCTTTCCCACATGCCTAGATTTTAAAAACAGAAAAACAGAAAGCAGTGGAGCAGAGGGAAGACAGAGGTGACAGAGGCTTTGCTTCAGCTCCACAGAAATGTGAGCTTTTTATCTGAGAAGAAAGTTGAGGCCAATGTACAGGAGAAGCTGACTACTTTCTTGCTCACCATTTTCTAGTCACTCTCTGGAAGGAATCTTTGTAGAAATTCAGTGGTGCACATAATATGTGCATAATTCAGCCCTGTGCACATTCTTACTGGTTGCAAGGAAGGCTGTAGGTCTAAACTTGACAGCTGAGATCCAAAGACTAAAGACTATTGACAGTAGGACACAGGACCTAGTGAAACACAGTTAAACTGCTCTGAGACTTGTGTTGAGTTCAAAGGAATCTCTCAAGTTCAGGTCCTTAAAACACATATGTGTTTGAAGAGCCACGCGCACTAAATTGTCTCCTCTCTCCAACACTACACATCCATCAAAATCAGAGGAACTTCCGTACTGAATTAATCACAGAATCCTATCATCTTCTTTCCTCCAACACAGGAAAGAGGTAGGAATGTCAGAAAATGGTGTGAGAACAAACTATCTCCATAATCCTCCATTTCTGCGTAGTAAATTGTAGGGGGGGAAAAAAACCCCCATAAAAATTTAGAGTTTGTATGTCACTTTTGTCGTTTCCAGGAGCATGTACATTTTGATCAAGGTGGAGACTGCTTTGCCAACCTCTGCAAAATTCAATAAAGCAATATACATTTGCTAACTACTTCTGTTCCTGAAATAGGGTAGAAAGCAAAAAAAAAAAAAAAAAGTTTAATACTTCAAACAAATGTAAGCTTTCATCTGCTCTCAAACAGGAAATCACGTCCTAGTCAAACGGTTGCATGCTTACTCCCTTCTCATCTTTTAAGGTACAAATAAACACTAGCTTAAATGTGGTAACAGTTAAATGTGGTTGTTCTCCTGGCTTTTTGTTATGAAGCCTCTCTGTCTTTGCTCAAATACATCTGTCAACAGGAGTGAGATTCCATCTGAAGGCAGATATCAACTACACCCAGTAGAGAAATATCTCAGAATATTGATTATTTCCTATTCAGGCACTGTAAAACAAGGAAAGACTACAGGGTTCATCTAAGTCCCATGGCCTGGAAAACATGACTTCACTCAATTGCTTATGGTTTGAACTAGAGAACTACCAGCAAAACATCCAATTTCAATTTACAAGTTGCCAGTGATGGACAATCACTCAGAGCACCTGACAGTTTGTTCCAGTGGTTAATTCAAAATATGCCTCGTGTTCCTAACTAAAATTTATCTAACTTCAGCTTCCAGTCAGGGCACGCTGTTATGCTTTGTTTACAAGATGGAAGAAGCCTGCCATCATACTAACTATGGTCAATGCACCTTCTGATCCTTCTCCTTATTAAACTAACTGCTGAAAGACTGAAGGCCTCCAGCTCAGAGGGATGCTCTCAAATCCTTCAGTCATCCTTGAGGGTATTCTCCCTATCCCCTCCAATTTTTCATCGTTTCCAAGACTGTAAGTGGATACAGCAGCGGTTACCTCTGTGCTGAATTCAGAAGTAACATGACTTATTTCTTCTCCACACTCCTCCAATTGTCTCTCCATCTCTGTCTCTGCAACTTCTACACTGAATACTAAGTGCAACTAAGGGTGAAGCCACCCCTGCCATTAGAAGATGTCACAGCTAACAAGCACCTTTTTTCAACAAGGAAAGGGAAAAGAGCAGGTTGATGAACAGACAAGTAAATCTCCTCCCCTACACCTAGTGCAGACATAGTATTTCTTTAACATTGACTACTTGAAGACATAAAAACAATGTTGTTTGGGGTTTTTTTGAAGTTATGTATCTTATGCACTTAGATATTTTTACTTTGTGCTTGTCAATGCTTGACACGATGCTATTTCCTCTATACTTATATATATTCTTTATTTCAGAATCAGAACCTCATCCATTTATCAGAACTACTGTAGCCACTGATTTTAGAAAGCTAGCTATATATTCTATGCCTTGTAACTGATATGTGATAGATTATATACAAATTCATATTCTCTCAGATAAAGGAATAAGCTACTGATCAAGTTAGTTTGGAGTGTCCTACTGTAAAGTTATCAGAATATCATCTACACATCAGCTACAAATAAAAACTACAAAAATTAGCAAATACAGACACAGAACTTACTGTCAGTAAACGGCAAAAAAGTAAGTACAGAAGAATTGAGTACTTCAGTTCCGATGAAGCTCTGAACAAACGCAGAATACTGAGTGTTAATATCTTTAAAATCTTCTGTCAGATTACAGGAGAGTTGTGTAATATTTGAACATTGTTTAGCAGTCTTCCAGTTCCTGTAAATCAAAACAAGTTAAAAAAAAAAATCAAAATAATCCATCTGGATTCTGTGATACAAGAAAGCTTGGGGCGGGGGGGGAAGCATTTCTGAGTGGAAAAACATACAAACGAAAAATACTGAGACTGGGATTTTCTTCTGAGTCGATAAACATTAGAAGTAAAATTTGTGTCTTATAAAACAAGACTTGCCTGCGGTCAGCGTACAGCACACGATAGTATTTTGGTACAGCTGGATCACTTCTTGCCTGCCAGGACAAAATGTGTTGAAAATTGCAAGATTCCATTTGTAGGTTGCAAGGTGGCCCTTCCAGAAATCCTTCTAGAAAGGGGGGGAAAAAAACAAACAACAAAAATCAAAACCAAACAACCCACCAATATAAATGGCAAACACATGTGAGATTGCAACAATTCTAATCAATAAACCCACTTAGAGCAGCCCAGTATTTGCCCCAAAGTAAAGCAACCACAAAAAAAAGAGTTTGGCACAACAGAAACAACAATGCAAAGGACTGTCTTCTTGCATTATATTTCTATCAAGTTCTTTCTTCAACAAGCATAAAGTTGTAAAATGATGCTTGGTGAGAGTATGCAAGTTTTTTTGAACTGTGTTAGGAAAAGCATTTGAGAGACAATAAAAACTCTTACCAGGCAAGCTGCAACAGGCTGCAGACAGAATGCTGATGTACACTGGAAAATGAAACTACGTATTAATACAGTACCTGCTCATTAGCTTACTATTCGCAATGTTTATTTGCAGCAATCAGAGATAACACTCGGTATTCACTCAGTAGAACTGTTTCTTTCCTTCACATCTTCTTTCTACTACTTTCTTCTGCCCTTCCCTCCTTTCCCAGAGTATGGGATGTCCCTCTCCAACCTCTGTCATTAATTTGAGGCTCCTAGGAGCTAGTTCTTTGATAACTACACTGTGGTTCAGGCTTATGCTGATCGCTGCCAGATGAGGTTCAAGTCTTGATGTGAATAAACGTACTTGAGATGTTCTTATCAAACATAGTCTTAGAAGATCCCGACTATATTCCAAGTAGCTCCCTCTATTAAATACCATTTTAAGTCACAACAAGAATCTTAAAACTAGTCTGGGAAAAGATACTGTTACTGCTTGAAGAGCATTATTGAATCATCTTCCTAGATATCCTCCTTTGCTACACATGGGGAGTCCTCAAGGCTGTAGCTTAACAATTTGGTATATTGCTCACTGTCTTCAGTCAGCTAACTCCTGTAACCCCCTATTTCATAACTCCCTCTCTAGTTTGTGTCCTGTTTCTGTAACACTTCTCTGTGGATGTTTAACTCTTGAGCACTCTATTCTCTGCCTGCAGAACAAAGAAACCAACCAAACAAAAAAAGACACCAACAGATAACACTTCTCCTGTCATAGGGCACAGTTAAGGCCACGTTCAGCCTGTCAGTCAGGCCTACTGTCCGAGTAATCTTTTGAACCCAGCCTTCTTGCAGATTCTGACATTCTGGGGGTCCCCACATCTTCTTGGATAACCTCTGTAAGAGACTGTTCATTCATCCAGATTCCCACTGTATCCAGAATTCCTTGCATCATTCATATCTTTTCAGCATGGTGCTTCAACACATTCTTCAAATTATAAATTATAAACTAACTCCATGGAAAAACCTGCAAAATTACTTCATTATTTTCCCTAAAACTCTTCTCTATGAACTCTCTTTTGTCTTGACATCTAAACCCTCTACCCAAAAATATGACAATACCCAAAACACTGCTGGCCTGCTACCTCTGTGGAACTGTGCTGATTAACAGGGCCTTAACATGTTCTTTTATTCTCCTCATCTCACTCAGAATGGAACTTCTGTGGCATGAAGAATGTCTTTGACTTTACATTTGTACAGCAACTAACACAGTAGCACTCTGGTCCATGACTGAGGTTCTCAGGTGCCACACTATGACAAATAATAGAACAGAACTACTTGATGTGTCAACAAGATGTGCCATAGTAAGAATGGCCATAAAAAAAAAAAAAAAAAGAAATCTGGGACACACCTCAAAAAAATAAAACAATCTTTATAGAGATCTACAACTAATGGGTAGGACAGGACTGTCACAGAATAGTTGAGGTTGGAAGGAATCTCCAGAGGTCCAACAGCCGACTATGTGAAACACAGTACCAGAATACATATTCCTGGTAGATGGGATTCAAAACAGTAGTGGGACAGTGGGAACTGTCCCGTCCCGGACACACTGGGAGAATTTCCTAATGGATTAATGCAGTTATTTTATGATCCTTGTCTACAGAAGAGGAAAAGAAAACTTTCCTACTCAATTAATTACTTTCCTACTCAATTAATTAAAGAGGTATCTGCACAGAACCTTTATGGCTGCAGAGAAGTGCCTTAAAAATTGCCCTTTAATTACCAGCGGGCACACACAGAAAAGAAACACACATAAATACACTTGGGCATCTAAGTTTACTGAAATCATTTGGGATGGATACTTAGCCAAGTATCTCTTATAAATCTGGCTCTTTGGACATCTGTCACAAATATTAACCTATGCTCCCAGCCTCCCTTCTGCAATTAGACGCAATGATATTAAGCAGCTCACGTGAGTTGCACACGCAGCAAATTTATGTTCCCACAAGACAAAAAACTCATCTCTCAAGTTTTGTTTTGCCATTAAAACCACAGACATCCTCCTTTGTAAGTCTTCCTTTTGCACTTGTTCTTCTATGTTATTACCAAATAACAAACATCCCCTTAGAGAAGTGGCAGTTAAAAGTAGAACAATTGAGTCCCAGTCATATAGTACCATATCACCTATCTGGAAAAAACCATCCAGTGGGTATGGATAACAAAGCAATACTTTAACAGCTATTTTTCTTTAACCTGAACACAAGCTTGGGTTTGTAATAATTTGTGGCAGGAATTCTCCCTTCTCCCAACAGGCACACGGCCTTTAGCACATTAAGGTTATTACCATGACAGAAACAGGTAGTGTCAGACTCTATTAATGACACACTTCCTTGAAGCGAGCCCTTCATATACAGTCTTTTGCCATTCCTAGGCCACCCACCCCACTTGCTGATGTATCTCCTGTGACATAAATGTTTTGCTATTCTGTCCATATGTGTGATTTTTAAATGCCTCTCCCCCGTAAAAATCAAATTCCATTCATCTAGGGTTCAAACTGCCTCAGAACTTTGCTTCAACAAACATGTTTAGGAAAGATAGTTGGAGAGTTGCAAAATTTTGTAGGTTACACTCTTACATAAGAGACACAGACAAGAAAAAAAGAATCTTAAACCAAATAACTAGGAAAATCATGAGTAGAGAAACAAGTATGATCTGTAAACTGAATCTTCTTTACCATCTTATCCTTTTTACAGAATTAAATGATCCTATCAAAACAGTTTCTCACTACAACCACAGCTCAGAAAACAAATTATGTTTGTTGTGCCTGCTAATCCAGAAACTAAGGAGTCCTGAAAAAAATTAGAATAAGAAATTAAAGCCAACACATACAACTAAGAGTTCACTGGATATTTAGAGAGGCAGAATGCAGTATGATGTTTCAAAGCATTTCTTTCTTATGGGAAAATCATGGTTTATGTATAGAATGGAGTATGTAGAATACTAGACACTAGATTCTTGATTCTGTGAATTATTCCAGGAAGAGGTCTACAATAAGATGATGGTATCTTACTTCAGTAACTCAGAAGAGGTGTTAGTGAAAAATTATCAGTACTACTCCTCCTAAAAAACAAAGGTACAGGCAACTTACCAAGCTGATTAATACGCATTGGTCCATCCATCAGTGTTTTCACAGTGATTAAGAAATATATTCTAATTGTAAAATAAACATTTTGCTTCTGTACCTGAAAATACAGTAAAAACAATCCCATTCAGCAAATCACCTTAGTAAATTACCTTCAAGTAAAAATAACTCTTTGTACACAGACCTCTAATCTCTTCAGCGTCTGGGGCAGGGGGGCAGTGGTACTAAAAACATTACTGCTATGGAGGGGTGAGAGTGGGACATGGATCCTCAGATTCAACAGGTGATTTTATGACAATAGCACTTTCCTTTTTTCACATGGAAAGGGCTCTTACCATATCAAATAAATATAGAAAGCACTGTATGATTATTTGTATTAATTCTGCATGAAGATACCATCTGAAAATTCTATGCCACTCACTCCAACTTATTAAATACAATGAAAAAAAATATTGCTTGGCTTTATTTGAAATACTACAAGAACTCAACACTGTTGTAAAAAATGTTTCCAGAAAGAAGGCAGATCAAGAGGGAGGTTAAGAAAAAAAAAACAAAAAAATATTAATTATAAGGAAATTAAAAATCAGATTAATTAAAAAAACCAAACAAACCCCTTATCCAAGATGTCAATCTTTCTCTGCTCAAAGTTTTAGCATGACTATAGGAAGTCACTGGATAAATGTTGAGAACCTGTAGCTGTGCAACTGACAATTCCATAGACAAAGAGAACATTCCTTTCATTTCAGTTTGGTTCATTATATCAATTAATTCAAGCATGATGAATATTTAGGAGATATAAAATACCAATCTTCCTCTTTTCAATCAAAATTAAAAACTATGGATAAGAAGATAAGATTTACTAGTTATAAAATCTTTATCATTAATATCAGCAAACTAGAAAGCAATTAAGTCACACATATTTCTCAAGTCCATTCAGTTTTGGCACTAGTGAATGTGACAGAAGATAATCTGATTTTCTCATTCAGATCAATCTTAGAGATTACACAGTATTAAAAAAAAAAATAAATTTCTACTTCAACAAGCTTTATTCAGAAGACACACAGAAACCTAAAGTCAAGCAATGTTACTTTCACAGTCACTTTAAAGAACAGTTACACCTGCAGGACCTGATTTTTCAGGCCGTTCAATATTTTCTCTTAAGGGGAAAACTTCTGAGGATCCTCAATTCACTTAGCAAAATATTTCTTTTATGTCTTAATCCTTGCAATTAATTACAAGACATGTTCAAAGTGCTCCATATATAGTATTATGCAACAGATGTCTTCGCACACCTTTGATCCTTGCTGTACATGCTGTCACAAATAACAACTATCTCACTCTTGGAATGGGAAGTGAACTCGTCAATGACTCTGTAAGCTGAACAACTCATGTGTCTTACATGATGCATATTCAAAGCCAGGTTATGTGTTTAGCACCTTAGAATATGTAAGAAAAATGTGACAAAACAGGTTTAAACAGGTTTATCTCTAAGTTTGCAGAGTTGGCTGAATCTGTATGTCCTCTGCAGATCTATCAATGCCAGTGAAATTCCAGGGGAAAATAATTTCTTTCAGAACTCTGATTAGCTTTGATTACTTTTCCTCTTCAGACCCTAAGCAGCACCTGGAAGGAAGCCATGGAAACACTAGTGAGTCCAGTCCTGACTTACCTCATCAGCCTGGGCTCACAGTAATTCCCTTGGTAATTGCCTGAAGCCACCAGCACTCTCAAAACTCAGCTTCACACTTCCCCATCATCTTCAGTGGCAGCTCATTTTTAACCGGAGGTCAGGCTGGGTTGTTTGCTTGCAATCAGAAAAAAAAAAAAAAAAAAAAAAAAAAAAAAAAAAAAAAAAAAAAAAAAAAGCAGGTTTTGAAAGTCATTGGCTTGTATTTCTGAAAAGCTCCACATCAGTAGAGCAGAAAATACACCCTATTCTTTGAAACAAGCGGATGGCATATTTATTTATAGAACTCTACTTATCTGAATATTGTGACAGAAAGACAGACACAAGAGATGCTTCAGGTAGAGAAGTCAGCAAAAGAGTATTCATAGAATCACAGAATGGTTTGGGTTGGAAGGGACCTTAAAGATCATCTAGTTCCAACCTCCCTGCCATCAGCAGGGACATATTCTAAACCTACAGAGATAATATAATGTGTGGATCAACTTTACGAGTGAAACTACGTGAATGGGATCGGTTGTAACGTTATGCCCACGCTCTATTCCTGGCTGGCCTGGGGGACTCTGGATAAGTCGCTTCCAAGGATATTGAAATAATTTAACCGGAATAATCCAAGTCCAGTAACCAGAAGCCCATTTTCCACACAGAGCCGCTGCTGAGCTGAGTGTGAGGCAGCGGTGTGGGACGTCCAGCATTGAAACACCAACAGAGGCCTCGGCCGCCCCAGGCCTCTCCAGCACTGCCGGGCCGCTCCAGCACGGCCGCGGGGCCAAGGGCACGGCGCTGGCCACAGGCGGCCCGGTCAGACTGCACCGCTGTGGCTCTCTCCTCACAAACGCCTGGCCCTGAGCTACGCCGTCACCTGCAT